CCACCCACTTATGACTACAGAAATATATATCGATAACCGTCTTACCGATTTCCACCAAATTTTGTCCAATTATTTCAATATATCATAGCATATTATTGAAACTGTTTGACAGTGGGAAAAATACTCTTCTTAAAAAACGATATTTAATACGCGCGCCGGCTATATAAAGTTCGGTTTCACCCGAACTTATACTTCTTTGATTGTTTTTATTTTGTGTTTGTATGAGTAGACAGAACTTTGCAACGTTCCGAATAAATAAAAATATTTTCAGTCAGTTTCCAGGGCAGTTAAAAAAATGAGTATAATTTTCGTCACGAAATTGATATCATAAATTTTGTGTTTCTAGTTCAGCTTTCGTCACCCGAAAATTTTACCTCAAAGAGATGTTTTATTTGATATCAATTATTTTGGGATAGCAAATTTAAAATCGACGAAAATCCAAACAAAAATCTAAATGTTTTATTTCTCTCAAATAAATTGCTAAAAACGCTATATGTGACCTGGTCTACGGAAAGGGGGCTTAGGTGTCAAAAAATCAATTTTCACTTTTTGGTTGATTCGGATGGAAGATGAGATGCTTTTTCACGTGAAGAAAAGCAGAAAATCCTAACTTGCTTAGAAGTGTACTAAAAATGTAGAGAAAGAAGAGTAAAAATACGACAAAATATAATTTATTGGTAATGAACAAAATACATTGAATTATAAGCTATAAAGACATGATTATACACTAGAAAAACGTATTATGGGCCAAAAATAATAATGCTGAGTAGTTTATGTATTTTTCTTTGTTGTCGTTTTCCTTCAGATCTTTTTACGTGTTGATCACGTTGTTGATTACGTGTTCGGTATCATCTTCTGCCTGAGATACACATACTTCGTCTTCATCATCATCGCTCTCTTCATAGTTTTCATCATCGTTTTCATCATCCTTTTCATGGAAATATTGTCCGTATACGGCACTGAACTCCTCATCAACACTCATGTTTCATTTCATGCGAAATGCGAAGACGATAATCAACAGAAACAGTAAACGTCACTTCTTCAGTGTTACTTTTTTAAATGTTCCACACTAGCAACTTACACGATGAACTATAATAATATTCCGACCAACAACAACACTTACTGGACCAACAACAACACTTACTGGACGTCCGGCGCGGAGAACAATTAACGAGATAATGAGAAACTGACGAAACGAGTTGCTTACTTTTAACAGCTTTTTCACAGAAAACTAGTTTTCGCACGTAAGCTCCCTTTTCGTAGACCAGGTCACATATAAATCTAAATGACTTATTCAAATATTTAACATTGATTTCAATTCCATTGAAACATATGATTTTTCGAATACAAAATAAAGCGACAAAAGATAATTATATCCTTCGTATCAAAAAAAAATTTAAATAAAAAAAGATTAAATGTGAAAAATGATATAAACGTAGCATCTTTGTACCAACTAGGGATTTTGCGAATGTGAAATTTTAGACATCCGCGGATGCGAATGCGGATGTGGATGTCAAGTATTTTTAAGAAATAATCCCGTAAGCAAATTAAGTTATTTAGGTAAATAAAAAAATGGAAAAGTTAGTAATTATAAGTAATTTTTATTTTATTTAGTACTTGAATTTAAAAATTGGAACATTATATTTAATAAAAAGTAATGAGAATTGCATCGGGGTTGAAAATGTCGGTTGTATCCTCCTGACTTTCATATTCACTTGAAGAATCTAGCATAATGGTGAGATCGTTGTTTAAACAGCGCTTACAAGCCAAACCAGATGTGCCAGGTTTTTCTAAAGAATTTTAAAAAGAATTCCTTTGGCTGTTTCAGAATTTGGGGAACCTGTAACGTCATCAGCGTTTTTCGATCTTAGTTTTTGTAATTCACTTTTAATACTTTCTTCTGCGAGTGGTTTGAAAAATTTGTGCTTATAGCGAGCTAAATAGGTGGATAAAGAAAATAAATTATTATTTGCCAGGAGTGAAAGTTTTGAACAAAATTCTTTTTTCAAAATCGTGGCTGCCAGCGGAATCGGATCAGAATATTGTTATTTTTTTTTTTAAAACTACCCCGTTTAAGATTTGAATTATTAGAATCACGAATGATGAGAGTCTCAGATAGTTACGTAATTCTTACCTAATAAAGGTCAGACCTATAGCTTTTTGATTATTTTAGCATCGATTCTCTTTATAGCTAAATGTTGAAAATTTCTGATGGAAATCCCTATTCTAGGAGCTTAAGCTTTGACTTTAAATAGCAAAGAAGGGAGACGTAGCAGAACAGTTTTACCACAGAGGATTTTAGCCAAGAATATGTATTTCTCTAAGGGCGTGTGTGAATCGGTAACAAAGTTCGCGGCAAGTAAATTTTTGACGAGTATGAGCTGAATAAAATTTCAGTAGCTCATGAGGCTAGTGAAATTTTTGACAAATGCATAGACAATTTTGACAATCGCAAAGATTGTCGCTTTGTGTAATTTTTCGTAAAACAAAAGCTTAAATTGATGAATTGCAATCAATGATGGTAGATGTTTTCTTAAAATATTAATTTCACTTCAATTTGTAATAGTTTATTCCGAATAAATCTGTGGTTGTCAAAAATTTAGTGCTGTCAAAAAATATTTCATTTCACACAACAGATTGGCAAAACTGTCTCACCAAAGTAAAAATATTATTCAACAGCTTTCCCCCATAGAACTTTGTTACCGATTCACACACGCCCTATGAAAAAAATAGTGCCCGACAAGTAAAAAAATTACTGTTTTTTAAATCTTTGCTTAAAATAAATTTGCCAAAGAGTCCCATTTGAAATGATCACGACAATTTGGTTTAAAATTACAGTGCCCACTTTCTTCTTTTATGTCCATTAACTTTTTTAAGATTGGTCCAAAAAAATCAAATTAAAAAAAGAAACCTATGCAGGTATTTAAAGCACAGAAAACAAAAAAAATATTATTAAAAGGACAATGTTCTCTGTTACGTAATATGTTTAAAGACATTTTTATCAAAGTTGATAGTTTTGTTTTGCCAGTTTTGTTTCACAAAGCTACAATATGTCATTTTGTTTGCCAGATATACGTTTCATCGGTGCACTTGCAAAACATTCGCATTCGCGAAAGCTCCGCATTGATTATTGTGAATGCGAATGCTAAAATTAATGCGGAAGCTTCGCAGTTGCGAATGCGAATGCGAATATTCGCAACAACCCTGGTACCAACATAAGATACAATAACCAACTGTATTCGTCTCATTCTCTACGCTGTACACATGTGTTTTTTAAGATGTTTCACTTCTATGACGAGTACGGTGCGGCACTCGCCCTTTTCAATCATGCGTTTTTGCTCTGTGGCAATTTATACATAGTTTGTAGCGGCCCATAAAGTGAACTAAATGCATTCATTCATACGTATGTATGCATATTGTGTACATACTTATAATTAGGTTAGGTTAGGTTACACTGGCCGGCTGATGCGCCTTACAAAGACCCGTTGGTCCTTTGTAGTGCCAGATGCAGGTCCGTTTCACTGCGATCTAAAGTACTCGTCATATAGGACGTCAACGCTTTTTGCGAAGTTCAAGAGAGCCTTAACTTCCAGTTTCTAAGCCTCCTCTAGTCCTTTGAACTGCGCGGCTCCGAGATATCTAAGACGAGTTCTAGCTAAGGCCGGACAGAAACAGAGGAGATGTTCTAATGTCTCACTCATGCCTTCCTCCCTGCACTTCCTGCATGCGTCACTGCTACTAATGCCCATTCTGCTTGCATGGGATGCCAGTAGGTTGTGGCCTGTCATTAGGCCAACAACTGTACTGCAATCCCTACGTGACCGTGTAAGCAAGAAATTGGTGTTTCCTTTGCTGCTATTTCACATGATCTTGGTGGTTTGGCATGTCGCTAATGCGTTCCACCTCACCCTGATCCGGCGCGCAGCTCTTTCGGGAATTTCATTATAGATCGTTTTTAGTGACTTTTGTATTTCCTGTACTGGTTCGCTAGCAAGACGGATGGCATTTTTGGCAATCTCATCAGCTATTTTGTTGCCCATAAAGCCCTTGTGGCCTGGAACCCAGTATATATGCAGCCGTTTACCCTCGGCCGCCCTGTTTACTGCTTCCCTGCTTCTAAGGACAATACGCCATACGATGTGAGATTATAGCCTTGATCGCCGCCTCGATATCGACATATATATTGATATTTTTTATATAGTTTCCTGCGTTACTAGCTATCTCAGCAGCTTTCCCTATAGCGAAGACTTCCGCCTGGAAAATACTGCAGTACTATAGAAGCTTGAAGGGTTCCCTCCGCCGCCCACTCCATTAGCCATTTTAGATCCATCCGTGTAGATGTTATACGTTCCGCTGGCGGGGCGCATGCTCCTGCGCCATCCGCCCTCCTTAAACGTAGCTTGTAACCTTCTTCCCCAGAAGAAGCGTGGGCTATGTGGTCTATTTCGTCCTCCATCCCCCTGCATATCGAACTGTGCCGGAAGGTTGTAGCGGAGAATTCACCTAAGGGCATCAATCTCATAGCGTACTTCGCTGCAGTGCTCTCCACTCTGATGTCGATTGGTGGTAGGTCAAGCAACCTTTCAATTGCCGCCGTTGGAGTGGTCCTTAGCGCTCCTGTTATGCACAGTGCAGCGAGCTGCTGTAATCGCTTCAATGGTTTTCTATACGAGATTTGGTTGGCAGCGGTCCACCATACCAGAGCGCCGTAGAGCAATATCGGCTTAACTACCGCTATGTAACACCAATGCATGAGGCCAGGGGATAGGCTCCATGCGGTACAAGTATAGTAACTTGATACGGGTGTATACGGATTTTCCCATGAATTTATTATTATTATTATTATTTATTTAGAATTAAAAATTAATTTTAAGACTAAAGGGAGAAGGGGCTGAGCACTAGCTGCTGTGGCTATCGGCTCTCCCATGAATTTAATTGTAATTTATTGCAGTTTTTTTTTACCTTTATACTTCACTTTTTAACACTATTTTGCTTTTCAGCAAATTCGCCAGAGTTCCAAGGATAGTACTGGCTCTTCCGATACGGATAGCTCGAGTGATGATGAGTCTATTCCAAATGTGGCGCCCAATCCTCCAGTTGGCACTGATCCAACAGCAGAAAAACCACAAAAGGAAACTGAAGCGGCCGCTGAACTTTCAGCGCTAGTTAATTATGTGGAACCGGTACATTTCTATACTTTCGAAAATGCGGAAAGTAAGTGCAAAGTAAAAAGTATAAGCCGTGTGTACATTTAAATGTACATTTACTACTAATCAAATTCAATTTGACTATCATAGAAAAAAATCGGTGCTACGAGATGTCTTCATTTGATGAAAAACAAGCTACAGCTCTGCTCAAAGAACGACCGATTGAATTTGTCAACTATAATAAACACCAGCTTTCCCGAGTTTATCCAACCGGTACCCGTTTCGATAGTTCTAACTTTATGCCACAGGTTAGTTGAGCTTTTCAAGCGCCTTATTGCAAATATTACATTAAAGGAATTATTGCATATTTACGTATTGTATGAAGCTTTTCTGGAATGCTGGCTGCCAGTTAGTTGCTCTCAACTATCAAACTTTAGATTTAGCTATGCAATTAAATCTGGGCATCTTCGAATACAATGATCGATCAGGGTATTTGTTGAAGCCGGAGTTTATGCGACGCACCGATCGTCGATTGGACCCTTTTGCGGAGAGCACGGTACTATATATTAGATTTCTTGTTTTTTTTTTTATCTGATATGGTTGTAAATGGCGCTATTGCAGGTTGATGGTATCATAGCAGGAACTGTGTCCATAATGGTGTTGTCTGGACAATTTTTAACTGATAAACGTGTGGGTACTTACGTTGAAGTGGATATGTTCGGGTTGCCGGCAGATACTGTGAGAAAGCGATTTCGGACGCGGATCGTGCGAGATAATGGTCTCAATCCAGTTTATGGCGAGGAGCCGTTTGTTTTCAAAAAGGTAATCAACCCACTTATTTTTGCCAAGTTTGAGTCTCCTTTAGATTATATTTAAACATATAGTAACGGTGAGTATCCGTCCTTTGCTTGTAAGGCCAGTCGTTTATTTTGCCCCTCTGTACTTTATCAATATTTACTAAATAAAGGACGCATATTGTCTTTATTTCTTACACTGTCTTTAAACGAGCGCTGGATTGTTTCAATGGTAAATTTCTAAATAAGTAATACCTAATAACCAAATCTAGAAGATAAAGAAATGTTCCCATTTTTAAGGTTTTTTTTATTTTTTCAATAGCGACACAGGCGTAAATCTTTCCTTTTTCAATATTGTTTAATAAAAAAAAAAATCATAATGGCGTGTGGTAAAAGATTTTTATTATGTATTTTTCAAAGAAACATAACATTGACAAAATAAAATACATTTAATGTACACAAATCACACGTGAACATTTAAAAGATCGTGCATTTATGCAAGCACAAGTGATAGCTGCACTTTTAAATGAAAATTTGCTAGTAGAAGTGCAAACAATTTAAACCACAAATTACTTAAATACTAGTATTAAAAAAGTGAAAATAGTGGGAGTTTCTGTAAACATATCTGTTTCTTAGGATCTTCGCAAAGTTTCATGAGAAAATTCGTTATAGTTTTGTTAAAACACGCGCATGTCGATGCACACTAAAGTCTACCCATGTATTTTATATAAACGTATCAAAAAAGGACTAAATTTTCTGCTGAACTTCACAAGCGAGAGATATAAGGCAAAAATTAACAAATTATATTCGTATTAATATGAAAAACAGCAAAACTTTAATCAGAAATAATTTTGCACATGAGACCAGGGAAGCCAACTTGTGGGGAACTCCCCGATTTGCGGGGAGTTTCAATTTGCGTGGGAATCGGGGAAAGGACCGTTTTTTGTGTGGAGTTTCATTTTGCGTGGGAAATCGGGGCTTGAATTGTGAGGAATTAAGTGTTAACTAATTTTTTCTTTTTTTGCTTCACTAATTTCATAATGACTTAAAAAAGTTACATAAGAAATGCAGCTGCAACTAAAAGTACTGATTACGCAATAGGGCGGGTCGAAAATCTAGTTTATCTCAAATCTCTTGGTAATAGTGAAAATATATTGTATCATGAAGACAACAACAAGCCTGCAAAATATTGGTATTTTATTTTAATTGTAAGAGCCCGCGCATCGACCGCCAAGTGACCCACGGCACACTAGTCGAATAAGACCAGTTCTTGTTCAGCAAAATGTTTCGTGCATATTATTAGATAATGAATCCGTTAACGCAAAAGATAAAGTCAAATATCATTTCTCGCAGCCCTTTAGCTAATCGTTAAACTCAAAGTTATCTGTTTTCAATAAAATTTTAATTGTTCTCTTGATAATTGCACTGGCCTATAGTCAAAAGAATAAAAAGAACAAGTAAGAAAGTCTAAGTTCGGGCGGAGCCGAACATTAAATACCCGGCGCAAGTATTAAATATATGTTTTTTCACCCTTCCGAAACCTTCCGCTAGATGGTAAGCCGAGGTGTATCAATTTTGAGTAAATTAGCGTCCTTCAATTTCACGACCGCTGTTAAGAAAAAACCTTTTTTCTATATTTTTTGCGATGTTGCTTTGACCAGGGTTTGAACCCAGGCGTTGCGGAGTGGAAGCGCGCACTGCTTACCACTACACCACAGCGGCCGACATTTTTATACCCGAGCGCACTTGTGCACAAGGGTATATTAATTTTGTTCACATAACGGTTGTTTGTAACAGCCAAAACGAATCGAGATAGATATAG